GTTTTCGACACTGCTCTGACTGGGATTTTTCCATCCGGGTCGCAGGACATCCGAAGTCTCATCCAACTTCATAAATTGATACTTTTTTAATTATTTACCTGTGCAATCTTTTTCCGGAATTTTACGAATAGTATAGAGAGTTTTACTGTTTTTTCAGGGCAAGAAGTGGACAGACGTGGCTGACTTTGGAGTTGTGCGCCAGAGTCAGGAGCTGTTCCTTCCAAAACTGATTATGGAATGTAAGAGATGATCTGAAATATTTTCTGAAATAATTTTAAGAATTTTTTCGACTGACTTTGGCTTCTTCCGCTGATTTCGTGACGAAATTTACAGCACTCAGATTGACGAAATCAAAGCCGTAAGTCAGGGACACGTTCTTGGATTCGTAGGCCTCATTTCTGGACGAAAGCTGGTTTGCAAGTCTGGAATCCTTTGAAATAAAAATATATGTATAGTGAGACCCCGAGATGCGGACGTAATTGGCGCATAAGAGTGTCCCTGAGTTGAAATGTCCCCAAGGCAAGTTTCATTTTCCCTTAGACTTACATCATATAATTTTAATTGGTGTTTTATGGACAAAATACTCAAAATAATTCCATGAAAATAAAAATTGTCTCCCAAATTGAAACTGAATCAATCAATATATTTCAACACAATATGGACATTTGGGGAATTGAATACTGATACCTCTGTACAGTACATAGAAATGTTGGCATTCTCTCTAAAAATAACATTCAAGACAAAAAGAGAGAAGAAAGTCCCTCTATGCTGGAGGTAATTTTTTATATTAGCTAAACGGATGGTAAATTGGTGAGAGAAATGCCCAAGAACTTTTCTTACAACAATTTTAGGGTTGGAAATATCTGTTTATTGTAATTTGGCCTGAAAATTATTGGTAATTCTGTCACAAAATGTCCCTATGTTGAGTCAGTGTCAAAATTTCAGGCCTTAATTATTAATTTTTTTGTGGGAAAATAAGTGTCACTTTGTAAAATTGTCCACATGTCGAGGTGTCTGCATGTGGGGGTCTCACTGTATTTAAAAAATAATAATGGAGAGGGAAACAATTCTGAATGAATTACCTTCGCTGGGATGCCGATTTTAACATCGCTCACGTGAGTAAGCTCCACTGATTGTCCTTCCTTGTATAAAAAATGGTATAAAAATAAAAAAATTGAAATTTGCGTCGGAAAAAAATTGGAATTTTCAAATACAGTAACTCACCTTTCCTTCGGATTTCCAGAAGACGAAAAACCCATATTCGTCCACTTTGACTGTGCAATCCAGTTCAATATCGGGTTGTGCATCTTTTTCCTATACAATATAGTTCGTATTATTGAACAAATTAACATTAAAAGTAAAAAAAAAAATTCACAAATTCATGAATTCCTCACTTCAGCCCAGCGATCGAAAACGGCTCCATTTTGCAGAGCTTCCGGAACCGGAAGCTTCCAATTAAACTCGTATTTCTTGGTCATTCCGACTCAACTTTTTTTTTTTTCCTTGCGGTGAAAGATATTTTTTCACACGAAAATCATGACCTGGTTGGAACTGGCATCTGACCCAGGTTTTCTGCTGCCATTTGACGTTTGTTTGGCTTCCATCGATTTTCTTGTGCTGTAGTGGGAAAATATGCTGAAGCCCTAAAAATGAAAATAAGCTTTTTGTACTTTCGGAAAATTATTGAATGATTCTCCCTAAAATATAATCAGAGGTTTTATAGTGAAACGTTTTTGAGAATGTATTTTTCAGAATGCCGTTTGCAAATTTCACATGGTTTTTCAATGTTTGAGCCGCGGAATGAAAATTCGAATGCCTTTTATTCTCTCAAATTTTTTCTTTTGCTTCGGAAAGAAGATTGATTTTGTGCTGAAGCGACGATGTTTTGCACTCTGTTGATGATGTCTTCTTCATCTTCGGCTCGTTTTCGATCTTGGTCGTCTTGAAAGTCGAAAACAACGGCGTTGTGCGGTTGGAAAGCGTTGCCATCGTCTTCATAAATCACCTGGGAATCCGAAATGTAGTCCACCGAAAGCCCTCCGATGTTCATGTGCTCGATGGGTTTTTTTGCTGTAACAGTGGAAAAGTTTTATCGTTCATTCGATTAAATTCAGTCTTATGTTCGCTTTTTTCTTCGAAATATTCACTTGTGACGGTTGAGGTTTCCTGCACAAGGTCTTCAGTCTCTATGATCACAAATGGCAGCTCTGTGTTGGCCTCAGTTGAATTCGGGCGGAAATTTTCCGGAGTCGTGGCAATGTCGTTTATCAACTGTATGAGCTCCGAAACAGAAGCTAAAAACATGCTCATTGTGTTGAAAAGAGTTGCAACGTTTCCAGCGACATCTGGTTCATCATCTTGCCTCGCTTCCTATAAAAAAAACATAGCATGAAAAATAGATGACGCCGTTTTCGGCTTTGCTGAAGAGGAAATAAAAAAAAAATGCAACGCACTTGGAATGAAAATATACATATAATATGCTATTTAACATTTTTTTTTTAAATTTTTGAGCTGTAGAGCAAAAACTCCGTTCATTATTTAAATATGTCTGCAATTGGGTGTAAAATTGCAAGTACTAATGCTGATTTTATACTGAAGGTGTCGACTGATTCATGGTCTTCCAGAGTGTGAGGTCCTAAAACCTTTGATCTGTCAGTATCATTTGAATTTGAACTGAAAGACACTGCAAAATTATCACAGCAGCCCTATTTTGACAGGATCAAAATCTCTGTGCTGAACAAAAAATGCTTTGATGAAAAATTTTAAACACTATATGCCTAAATTGCAGGAATTCTGAGATCAAACTATACTCTTGTAACATCAAAGCCATTAAAACCTGAAAACTATTTATTGAAAAAATCTTTGATGTGAAGAACATTTCAAAAATTGATGTAAATTGCAGGGATGCTGAAAAAATGCTTGCCATATTCTTTCAATCAGACTTGTTGCATCATTCAGGAGTACAGGTGGTACC